GTCAAGGACTGAGCTGCAGGGGCATTGACCCCTGAAACAACTTCCAGGTACACTCCAGGTAAGCCTACTGGCCCATATTAGGCCAGGTATTTCCACTCACCCCTTAAAGTTGTACAACGTACTTCCTTCCATAATGCTTCTAGTTATTGCCAAACCAAAACTCTTCTAAATCCTTTCTAAATCTAAATTTATTAAATATGAATTCACTGTGTTGAGTTCTATCTTGGTTAAATATATTCACCACTTTGCTGACACCCCCTTTATTTCAATATTCACTACACAGTGTAATCCTGACAGAGGTAACTATATAAATGCTCTGAATGATGAGAGGGCTGCCATTACAGTATTGCAGATAAGACAACAATTTGAAGGTAATGGAAGATGGAGTTAGCTTTAGCTACTTCATTCCTTTAAGATGTAACTTCACACTTCAGCCACTATTTTCACAAAAATACATGAGTGGGAATGGGTGGGTTTCAGTATAACCTAGAGTATGTAGCTGTACTATATTTTATGAAATGCTAAACCCATATTGGCCATTCAGCATGAAGAGTAATAGAGGCTTAATCCTCCATCTGCTAATTGCAGTTCAATCTCTGAGTGGTGTGTGTCAGAGAAAGTCATGCTGTACATCTGACCTCAATAGTGACTCCAAAACAATTTGAATGCTACATACAACACAGAACTATAATTATCAAATGTGGTTCTACTGTCCCTCAAAAAAAGAGGGTAGATATATGCAAGATATATTTGGAAAAGAATTTTTTTTTTAAAAGTCAGGGGTCAACTTGCAAGATCAAGCAATACTTGAGCATATACAATGTATATGGCACAGAACCTTGACTGTAAAGAGGTTCTTCACTTTGGATAACAAGTGGAGATACTGCTACCCAGTCAAAAAGAGGTGCCTCGATGCCAGTAAGGGACTCTTCACACAAATAATCTACACTTACGCAAGGGTTATTTGTGCACTGTTCCAGCCATGGTATTGTGACTTTTTTACTCTTTGAGAGAACTCCTGAACTAAGGAACTGCACTTAATGTTCCCCTTCCTGGGATCGAACCTGAATGCCTCCCTTTTCCCAAGTGCCATACAACTATGGGTTTAGTGCTGCCCACTGATTACAATAAATAAAATTACTGCCCTGTCATGCGAGACGGAATCCTGTTAAATATATTGTACAGGAAGGATTACTGATCTAATGAACATGTAAGATGGCAGGTAAATCTTACAAAATAGCTACTGCTTACATTAGGTGAATGCTTATCCTTGTCAACACACCACCATAAAGTGGAAAAATTGTTTGCAAAAGCATCTGCAAACACTAAGGATGCTATCAGTACAATGTGAAAAACTGGAAAAGTATGCAAGAATCAATGTAGCTGGAGTTTTCCAACCCTCTTATACCCAGACTATTGCACTGTATTTGTAAATGATCCTAAACAGTAATGTTTAGATATGTACCAAAATGCTAATATAGCATTATAAAACCACTGGGACAGTAAGTAATATGCTACAATATTACAATATTTAATTTATCCACATATTTTTGCATCATTATTACTGTATAGGAGGGGTGTTAATGTTGCAGTTTAAAAACTGTAGTGTAAAGCACCCTTCTGGCAAGACAGTGATGGAGTGAATGATGGTGAAAGTTTTTCTTTTTCGGGCCACCCTGCCTTGGTGGGAATCGGCCAGTGTGATAATAAAAAAAAATAAAATATTACTGTATAATCATAAGTGTTTACAACTGACATTTCCATGCTTACATGCAAAAAACACAAATTTACTTGTCGTTATTCATGCCATTTTTTTTTTTTCAACATGCTGGCCATCTCCCACTGAGACATGGCGACTCAACCACCCAAATGAGTGTAAGTCAGAAACCTGCACTTGTTCTACATGATGGTAGGATTGCTGGTGTCTTTTTTGTCTCATAAACACATGGGATACCAGGTATAACTTGCTACTTCTACTTACACTTAAGTCACACTACACATGCATGTACATTGTACATGCATATATATACATACCCATCTAGGTTTTCTTCTATTTTCTTAATAGTTCTTGTTCTTCTTTATATCCTCTTATCTTCATGGGGAAGTTAAACAGAATTCTTCCCCGAAAACCATATGGGGTCATAAAAGCGACAAAAATTTCCTGGGAGAAAGGGGGCAGAAACCCCCCCCTTCTCCTGTAAAAATTAAACAAAATTTTAAAAGAAAATTTTCATTTTTTTTTTGGGTCCCTTGCCTTGGTGGGATCCCACCGGGTGTTTTAAAAAAAAGTTTTTGAGGTCTTTTTTTTTCCTGTCTCTAAAAAATTGCAAGATAACAGGTATACGGGGGCCCCCCCCCCCCAAAAGCAAAACCCCTTTGCATAGCGAACAACCCCGCTTAGCGAACCTTTGTTCGCAAAAAATTTTTTGCCCCGCTAGGGGAAAACAAAAAACCCCTCAGACGAATTTTCGTCCGAACCCGCCCAATCTGCCCCTCACCCAAAGCCTCACATTTCCCCCCGGGCCCTTTGGGGTTTTCCCCCCAGCCCCCCGGGGTTTAACATTCAACATACACCAAATTTTTCGATTATTACAGTGTTTTGGTGCTTTTTTGGGGGAAAAAATAATGGACCATGGGCCCCAAGAAAGCTTCTAGTCCCAACCCCTACACCCCCAAAGGGAAAGAATACCCATAAAATAAAAAAGAAAACATTGAAAGTAAAAAGGGGGAGTACGTATCACCGACCTGGCAGGTTGTAAAAGAAACCAAAATCAACCATCGCTTCTATTGGGGGCAAAAAAAAAGGGCAACAAGGAACTGTTTTTCCCAAAAGGTTTAAACCGTTTTTTTCGAAACAAAGATCGAAAGTATGGAAATTTTTAGAGACCTTTTTGGTGGGGATAAATGAAAAACAGCTACAGGAGATAGCGTCTCCAAGCGATCATAGGGGAAAAGGCAGGAAGTTGCATACATTTAATTAAAAAAATGCCTGCAACTAGGGAATAAAGTGAGTAATTTTTAAGGCCAGCAAAGGGGGTTTTGGGAGAGTTTAAAAGAACGTATTTGGGCATCCATGTGTGATACGGCAGGTGAGGCTGCCATTTTGGACCACAAAGTGGGTGAAAAATATGTGCAGGGAAAACAAAGGGGTACATAAAAATGAAGGACTGGAACTGAACAAGTGTTTTAAAAAGTGAAGAAACAGGCCGTTCCCGGAAAAAAAGCCAACAGGACCCACATTAAATCAGGGGGAAAAGGCACTCCAGGACCTAAAACCTATGAAAGCCCGGCTTACTTTTTTGAAGTTGTGCCAATGCTAGTGGTGAATTTCAAAAATTTAAACCTTTAAATTTTGATCAAATCTGAAACCCCAAGCGTTCCCGGCAAAAGAATGTCCCCCAAGGAAAATTTGGGGTGTGCTGTGGAGGGCAAAAAAAGTAAGGCATGGGCACTAGGGAATTTTCTATAACTTTGGTTTTTACCATGGGTTTGCCCCCCCAAAGTGAAAAAATTTCCTAACGAAAAGAAATAGACCTTAAGGCCCCCCCTGGTGTTAGACAATGCCCCTGGCAAACCAAAAGAAAGGGCAGAGCGGGCTTTTGGGGACATGAGTTCATTAAAAGGGGAAGTTTTTTTCCTCCTAATACCACTCCCTCCGCCAAACCCATGGACCAGCAGGGGCTTTCCAACTTTAAGAAACTGTACACAAAACACTGTTTCAAAAGTGCTTTGGAAAATGACCACAGAACACTCGATTGACTCTAAAAGATTTTTTTGGGAAAAAAACACTTTTAAAAATCCCAATTTTTGGGGAAACCTTAAATTTAAGGGTTTTGGGGGAGTGACAAGGAAAAATGAACCTGCTTGGAAGAAACGTGGGCCCGAATGTTAGCAAAAGGGATTTTTAAGGGTTTGGGGGCAAAACCCCGAGAGGTAGTATACCAGTTGAGGAATCAATTGTGGAAATTGGGGGAAACCCTTTTGGGTTTGGGGGTTAGTGGGGAGGAAAGTGGAAGAGTTTGGTGGAGGAAAATGAAAAAACTAACCACTGATGACTGATGATCAACTTAAGAGCCAAAAGGCCAGAAACCCGGGGGAAAATGGGGTTTAAAGGAGGGGGAGAGAAATTGAAAATTGCCTACTTCAAAGTTAAGGAAAAGTGTACAAAATGGCTTGAAGTGCAAACCTTTTTTGATGAAAATCACCCTCACACAGCTATTGCAAGCCGTGCTGGTGACTGTTACAATGACACTGTTGTGAACCACTTTAGACAAATCATAAAGGAACGAGAGGTACAGGCCACTATGGACAGATATGTTGTGCGAAAGAAGTCCAGTGACTCTGAAGCTGGTCCTAGTGGCATTAAAAGAAGAAGGGAAGTAACCCAGAAAAGGACTTGCTACCTCAAGTCCTAATGGAAGGGGATTCCCCTTCTAAACACTAACACTCTCTCTCCCCTCCTCCCATCCCATCAATCATCACCAGATCTTCAATAAAAGTAAGTGTCATGTAATTGTGCATGCCTTTTTCAGTTTGTGTGTACTAAAATTAACATTTTTTTGTGGTAAAAAAAATTTTTTTTCATACTTTTGGGTGTCTTGCACGGATTAATTTTACTTCCATTATTTCTTATGGGGAAAATTAATTCGCATAGCGAACATTTCGCATAACGACCAGCCCTCTTGCACGGATTAAGTTCGCTATGCGGGGGTCCACTGTATCTTGCTACTCTTATGTCACACTATACATACGTGTACATACATGTTTATGTATACACACTTGTCTGAGTTTTTCTTTGATTTTTTCTTAATAGTTCTTGTTCTTATTTTCTTTTCATCTTTATGAGGAAGTGGAATAAGAATTTTTCTTCCGTAAGCCATGCATGTTGTAAAAGTCAACTTAAGTGTCGGGAGCAATGGGCTAGTAACCCCTTTACCTGTATAGCTTACTTAAATAAAAAGAAAAAACATCATCATATTCACAAATTAAACAGACTTAACTTACGTTTCGACTAGTCTGTTAATATCTGCCTGCACAGAGTCTTGTTTGTTGAGAATCTGTTGTCTTCGTTCTGCCACCAACTCCTTAGCATTTTCTATATAGCCTCTCTTTTTCCGAATGTCCATGAGGAACTGTCTGAGTCTGTCTCTGGTGAGACTGGCCATCTCCTCAGAAAACTTGTACTTATGCTCCCGGTGCTCAATAAGCTGACAATCTCTACACGTCAGCTGATCACAGGTCTGACAATATAGGTTCAACTTCTCCTGCAACATTATAAATAATTAATGAAAATTAGCTAAAGGGCAAAACATGAGTACACTACAGCATGCTTGAATGGATCAATGTAACTGTGCAAGCATTTTTTATAAACATTTACTCAGCACAGTGAAGCTTTCATGTTCATAGGCTACATTCATGGAGACACTGAACACAGAATAATCAGCAAGAGTTTTCTTAACACCCAAAGCAGGGGTATTTTAATGCAAATTTCTAAGAAAATTAAATAAAACTTACATAGTTAAGACCAGTATACAGTAATTAAATGTGAGCATACTACACATACACATACACACCAAAAATCAATGCATTTCATCTAAAAACAAAATTCAATTATGACTCCTATAATGTATTGTACAATTATATCCTATGACACTAGTCTGCAATGTGCCTTTGGTTTGATATGGAAAGGAGGGTCTACAATAACATCTTATACGATTAATTTTTAATCCTTTCACTGTCTTCCATGTAGATCTACATTACTGACGTCAATGTCACTTGCATAAATCTACGTTTTAATCCCAGAACTTTGAAATATGCTGCGAGCAGTAAATTTTGGCCTAAACATAAAAGAATGGGTCTGTGCAATGGGTGTACACAGTGTAAAAAAAATAATTCTGCTCCACGCAGTGCATGATGGGAAAAGCAAACCTCTGAACTCATGTTTGGTTTAAATTAGCATATCTGAGTTCTCTAGGATAGTTTTTATGGCTTTAACCCTTTGAGGGTCCAGAGGACAAATCTCAGAGCAACAGCCGGGGTCCAAGAATTTTCATAAAAAAATTTTTGTTATTTTTTCTTATGAAATGGTAGAGGATCTTTTTCTGAAGGTAATAAAACAAAAATAGGTAGTAGGTTTGTAGACAGCAACCGCCCAGGGAGGTACTACAGTCCTGCCAAGTGAGTGTAAAACGGAAGCCTGTAATTGTTTTACACAATGGTAGGATTGCTGGTGTCTTTTTTTTCTGTCTCATACACATGCAAGATTTCAGGTACATCTTGCTACTTCTACTTACACTTAGGTCACACTATACACATACATGTACAAGCATATATACACACACCCCTCTGGGTTTTCTTCTATTTTCTTACTAGTTCTTGTTCTTGTTTATTTCCTCTTACCTCCATGGGAAAGTGGAATAGAATTCTTCCTTCGTAAGCCATGCATGTTGTAAGTGGCGACTAAAATGCCGAAAGCAAGGGGCTAGTAATCCCTTCTCCTGTATATATTACTAAATGTAAAAGGAGAAACTTTCGTTTTTCTTTTTGGGCCACCCCACCTTGGTGGGATACGGCCGGTGTGTTGAAAGAAGAATAAAACAAAAAGTACGAAATTTGATGGAAAACTGACAAAATTATGCTCTCACAAATTTTGCCACGTCAGCAATATTTATGCATCAGTGATTTTGCCGACTTTGGCTCCCATTTTAGGCCAATTACTTTATTCCAGCCTACCAAATTCTTAGCTAGTATTACTTCTATTTTATCGGCTGAGTACAAGAAATCACCCAGTCAACTGTTTCAACTACCCAATAGTGATTGGGAATTGGTAAATTTGCCAATTTAACACAAAGTTCAAAATATTCCAATTTCAAAATAAGGTCCAGAATAAACAATGCAGGCATTCCTGGCACTAAAATAACATTTCCTCTGTTTTTTAGTTACGTTTTCAGGTTTTACAGATGAATTCTATTTTGATTTTTTATTCACATAATGATTTTTATTCACACCAAAAAATAGAAGATTTACTGTTATGCAATATTGTAATAATTGTATAAATAATATCAGCGCATTTATGAACGGAGTATATCAGACCCACCAGCCGACATGTATTAGATGCGTGACATCATTTGTTTACTCTTGAACATCGCCAAAAATTGAACGTTTCCGTTAACCCTTTCAGGGTCCAGAGGCCAAATTTCAAAGTGTGCACCAATGTCCAAGAATTTTCAAAAAATAATTTTGTTATTTTTTCTTATGAAATGGTAGAGAATCTTTTTCTGAAGGTAATAAAACAAAAAGTATGAAATTTGATGGAAAATTGATGAAATTATGCTCTCGTAAATTTTGTCGCTCCAGCGATATTTACGCATCGGTGATTTTGCCGACTTTGACTCCCATTTTAGGCAAATTACCTTATTCCAGTCAACCAAATTCTTAGCTATTTCACTAGTATTACTTCTATTCTATCGACTGAGCACAAGAAATCGCCAACTCAACTGTTTCAACTACAAAATAAATTGACAGGAAATTGGTAATTTGGCCAATTTAGTGCAAAGTTCAAAATATTCCAATTTCAAAATGGGGTCCAGAATAAACAATGCAGGCATTCCTGGCACTAAACTAACATTTCCTCTGTTCATTAGTTACATTTTCAGGCTTTACAAATGAATTCCATTTTGATTTTTAATTCACATAATGAATCTTTATTCAAACAAAAACAAATAGAAGATTTACTGTCATGCAATACTGTAATAATTGTATAAATAATATCAGCACATTTGCGAGCGTATATTAGACACACCAGCTGGCATGTATTAGACGTGTGAGGTCATTTGTTTACTCTTGAACATCGGCAAAAATTTAACATTTTCACTACTTTGAGCTCAGTTTCACGTCATTTTTATCACTAAAACCAATCAAGATCATCTCTATTTCTTTAATATATCTTCCATTCTATCAAATGAGACCAAGATATTGCAAACACAACTATAAAAAACCTACGAAAAAACACTGCAAAGTTGCTGTTTTAATCGAAAATTACAATCTGTTTTTTCCTCATTATGCACTGTGTGCTGCAGGATTTGTTTTATGTGGTGCACACATACCACATAGATGTATTCTCTCATATCTTGGCCCAAATTTACCACTCACAGCTTATCAGAGTAAACTGAGTTCATGGCGTAGATCTAAGGTTTGGACCCTCAACATAAAGCTGTAGATCTACGGCACAGTCCCTGAAAGGGTTAATTTTAGCTCAGTTTCAAGCCATTTTCAGTACTAAAACCAATCAAAATCATCTCTATTCCTGTTATATATCTTCCATTCTATCAAATGAGACCAAGAAATTGCAAATAAAAGCACACTGCAAAGTCTCTGTTTTAATCCAAAAATACGGTCCTTTTTTTTTCTCATTATGCACTTCGCGCTGTAGTATTTGTTTTATGTGGTGCAGACTTACCACATATCTAGGCCCAAATTTAAACTTACAGCTTATCTGAGCTGAGCTGAGCTCAAGCCGTAGTTCTATGGCTTGGACTCAGGTTTCAAAGCCGTAGAACTATAGGATGGACCCTCAGAGGGTTATTGACCAATTTCTGGTATCAATTAATAGAATGGAAGACATAAATGAATTAGAGATTTTTTTAGTTGGTTTCACACCAGTAGCAGCTTGAAACAGACCTCACAGTAGCAGAAATGGTTAATTTTTGGCAATTTTTATGAGGAAGCATGGGGCTTCCACCCCCATCCTCCCAGTCTGCTTTATGAGTTTTTACTAGGCCTGCTTCAATTATTGGGACACCTTAAACCATTAACAATCATTCTTGGTTATATTTTATTATCTGAGAAACAGGGTAAAATCTTAGATTTTTGGTGTGATAATGGACTAAAAATGGAAAGCAAGTGTTATACAGGAGAGACCTGGGGATGTGATTAATGAAAGGCTACTTTAGTGGCTGGAATTTTGGACTGTTTTTAAATTGAAATTTGTTGAATTTTGTGTAAAATTTCCCAAATTACTGAGTTCTGTTTATTTTATAGGGTAGTTCTGATGGTTGAATAAGAAGCTTTCTTGTAATCAATTTATAGAACAGAAGGCATACCAGTAAAATAGCTAGGAATTGGGTTGATTTCTCACACTTTGAACAATTAAGCCATCTCGGCTTAATAGTCCAAAATGTGAGAAATCGCCAATGTGTAAATTGTGCCCAGACCACCAATTTTGTGCCTGCATAATTCCATAAGTTTTGAATCACAGTTCACATTTTTCATGCCATAACCTTCAGAAAAAGATTCTCTGTGATTTCAGAAGAAAAAATCAAGACAATTTTTTTTTTAAATCATGACAGTGTCAGTATTTTTAATTTCAGAGATTGTGACAGTGAAAGAGTTAACGAGGTGGACCAAAAAGCCATCAGGCCTTGGTCAGCTTCACTCAGTGGATCTGACATGAACAGAAATTTTTATAATTTTCCTGATAATAAAATACCACTACCAAATAAAATAATATTATACATAAAATAATACCACTGCAATGTTGATTATAAGTGGAGGGTGTAATAAGACACTGCCATTAGTGGAGTTCCTCTCTCAAGGCACAAGAAGAACCTGTGACTTAGGATGATAAACAATTTATATACTACAGCATAATATAAACATTATCAGTTTCCTCACATTTCAAACCTGATGATGCAGAGAGTATGAAAAAAATGAGTGTTGACTGTTATGCAAGAAACTGCTAATTTAGTCCCATCTCTTGAACTTGCAATTTCAATGGTGATAAACTATATATAAACATTATCACCAGTTTCATCAGGAGATATAAATGCACTATATGTGTTGGCTGCTGATGCAGAAAAAACTTATTTACTCCCATTTATGAGGACTAGAGTATACCCTGACTTAATCCTGGGATAATGCTAAAGGCTGATTACACTGATAAACAAAGAATATAGAAATTACTTTTTGTGTGCCAAATAGACTGACACCAATTCAAAAACTGTTGTCAGTTTTTTGCTACCAAAAATAGCTTTCAAGATAAGACAGACCATAGCTGCTTAGATATGGGAAGGGAAAAACAAAAACCTAAAACAAACACAACATACAAAAAACACGAAAATCATCTTATAGAATGTAAGAGGCATATTAAAAACTTATTAAGAATAATTTTACATGATATACATTTTAGAGAGTACAAAAAGTAAATGCAACAAAGGCCAGAAAAATGACAAGGTGGATAAGGAGAACTTTCACAAAAAGTAAAAATAAAAGCCAATGATGGTACAATACAAATCACTTGTGCTCTCATATCTAGAATATTGTTCTGTGCTCTTTCTCTCTCCCTTAACCACCAAATTAGAAGAACAGACAATTACCTTTGTGTGTACATTACAGAAAAGTGACTTCTTGACCTGAGTCTTAGTCGTCGACGATGAATCAGAGTCCACCTCTCCCTTAGCCTTAATGATGTGATCTTTGGTAACCTTCACTCTCTTATGGGCCTGAAAAAAAATAATAAGGTAAATTGAAATTTAAAAGGAACAATCACTGGTAACTATGAATCTGTTTTCCCAAGGTCTAGTACGGAAGAAACTAGAGGTATCAAATCCATAAATGCAATAAATACTTCCTTACCTTTAACCCGTAAATGGTTCAAACGTATATATACGTTTTTACCGCTAGTGCCTCAAACGTATATATACGTTTTATGTGTCATACATTTAACATTGCCACGATAAGCCTGAGTCACCTAGACATGAGAGAATGGGTGTGAGCACTCACTGTGTGCCATATTAAAATAATTGGGGATGCCTGGGTACCATATGCTCTTTTTTTCCTATTAAAAAACAACAAAGTTTTTTTTTTTTCAAAACAGTTGGGGCAGTACGGTAATAAGAACATAAGAACATAAGAATGTAGGAACACTGCAGAAGGCCTACTGGCCCATATGAGGCAGGTCCTTATCAAAACGACATCTACCTAAAGCTACCCAAGAAATAACTCCCGTACCCCATGACACCAATCAAACCCAGCCCCTCCCACTCATATATTTGTCCAGTCTCTTCTTAAAGCTACCCAAGGTCCTAGCCTCTATCACCCCACTGGGAAGACTGTTCCACGCATCTACAACTCTGTTAGAAAACCAGTACTTACCTATGTCCTTTCTAAATCTAAATTTATCCAACTTAAATCCATTATTCCTGGTTCTTACCTGGTTCGACACCCTCAGTACTTTATTAATGTCTCCCTTGTAATGAACAAGTATATACGTTTGGACCGTTTACGGGTTAACTAAATAGTGTTCACTAATATGTTTCAATGTAAACACTTGGTCTACATATCCTTACCCTTCCTAAAACTTCCTTGTTCATCTGCAATCCTGTTCTCCGTCCTGCCCATAATTCTTTCAGTAACTCTCTGTTACATTTGATTATGGTAGAGTTACTATTGAAAGAATTAATGTTAAGACAGAGAGCAGCATTGTAGATGAACAAGGAGGTTTTAGGAAGGTTAGAGGATGTGAAGACCAAGTGTTTACAATGAAACATAAAAGTGAAATATTTAGATAAAGGTAAGGACGCTTTTGTTGCATTTATGGATTTAGGAAAGGCATCTGATAGGGTGGATAGGGGGAGCAATGTGGCAGATGTTGCAAGTGTATGGAATAAGTGGTAGGTTACTTAAAGCATTTAAGTTTTTATGAGGATAGTGAGGCACAGGTTAGAGGAGAGGGGGAGATTATTTTCCAGAAATGCATGGTCTGTTATCAATGATTATTCCTGATTTAAATGGGGGCAATTATGTTGTCCATATCTGATCTAGATTGTTCCTAGTTTAGTACAGTACATACTACTTAAATTTTCCTAGTTTAGTACAGTACATACTACTTAAGAAGCTTGTAACTTGAGTGTCATCGGATTGATTAAAAATTAATACTGAAGTCACTAGCAATTATCAGATGATCTTTTCAAGTCCGTTGGTTAGATCTGAAATTCACCTGAAGATGATTTTGGGGTGGTCACAACTCCCATGACCTGGTTTCAGACCAGGCCTCTTGGTTGATGGCCTGATCAACAAGGCAGTTGGAGAAATTACACCCAGTCCAAAAAAGGCATTGCAGCCCAGCTGATCAGTTCCCTCTTGAGACAGAAGGGGCAAATAAAAGACTCGGTCCCTTTGCACTTCCTGAGTTATCTCTTAATGCACTCACTGCATGCCTGCTTTTCACTGGAAGTATTTTGCACCATCTGCCAAGCCTCTTGCTCTAAGACAGTCATTCACACTATGTAGTGTTTGGTATTTTATATACAGCTCCAAATGTGATTAATATTTCTGAATTACTATTAGCAAACTAAGCAAATGCGTATTCTCCATTGCCATCACTTGTGTTTATAATATTCTTACATTGCAGGATGCTTAACAAAATGTAAATTTCATCAATAAAATGTAAAACAGAACTAAAACAACACTATGCTTTGAAATTTTATGTCAATTACAAGCTAATTGTACTAGCAAACAACTTTCAAATTTTCAGTCTTATACTAGTCTCTTACCTGTATGCACTGATCACAAAGCCACTCTGAACAGTCTGTACAAAGGCCTGTTGCCACTGCCTCATCAGTACACGAAGTGCAGGTAAAACTTTCTTCAGTTGCACTACTTGTCCCTCGCTCCCCACAACTCTGAGCCTCACACACAAACATATTGTCTAATATACTCTCCTGAGGGAAACCTTTTTTGCACATAGGGCAGTGGATGAGGGGATCCACTGAAAGTAAAAAAGAAAAGGAACAATTACTTCAGCATGCTAGCTTTGCAAACATAACAGCAATAAATTTCTGTACAATAATTACATTTGCAAATACAATACAATTTAGGAATAATCTAGTACATAGGAGCTACATTGGACCCCTGGTTTTCATCCTTAATCTGTTCCAGGAGGTCGGTCAAAATCCGAAATGGACGAAAACCAAAGTAATATTTTCCATAAAAAAAAATGTAAATCCAATTAATTCATTCCAGACACCCAAAAATACTAACAAAAAATAAATTTTATAGAGAATAACTATAGTGTTGCAGCTCTTCAGTGGTTGGCTCTTCCTTGTGGTCGTCCACCAACTCTTCCACATCCTGGCCACTCACATCCAACCCCATGGACTTCCCCAAAGCCACAATAGATTCCACAACAGGCACAGGGTTGTCAAGTTTACATTAACTTACATTAAATTAGTAATAGAACTAGGCATTAAAAAACACAATAAAAAGTAAAATACATACACAGTACATTCATTACTTACCATAAAATACTATCTGTAGTCTTAATGTAGGGTGAGAGGTGAGCAGTACTTATTTGTAGGAAGTCACGTGTAGGTAGCCGGTAGGCAGCCTGGGCTACATGATATTTAATGTGACCCAGAGTCATATTATTACCATCAACATACCATGTTCACCAAGTTTTATCATTTCTAACAACTACCTTTACATGCCATCATAAACAAAGGGAGAAGTAATGAATAATTCATGCCGAGAACTGCAAACAAAAGCATTAGGTATTAAGGGCGGTGATTGGGCCAGCACAGATTCATACACATTTTCTCTAATGTTGGACCAGAGAAAATGTAATGTTTTCCTTCTGCCTGGTTAGCACACCTCCATAGCATATAAACATTGCATGTTTATATGCTATGTAAAGTGTTTCTTATATAATTTTGAAGAAAATATCATAGATGGATTAATGAAAATGTCTATACTATTAACCCTTTGAGGGTCGACAGGCCCTCTCTGAGACTCGTTCTCAGGGTCGGCCAAATTAAAAAAAATAATAATAATTTTCTCTTATGAAAAGATAGAGAATCTTTTCCCGATCATAATGACACCAAAAGTTTGAAATTTGATGGAAAACTTACAGAATTATGCTCTCGCGAAGTTAGCAGTCTCGGCGATGTTTACACATCGGGGATTTTGCCCGCTTTGAGCCCCATTTTCAGCCAATTCCACTGTACTAGTCGAAAAAAACATGAATATTTCGCTAGAACTCCATTTTTTCTATTGAATGAGTGCAAGAAACCACCCATTTATCAATTTCAACTATCCAGTACAGTGGTCAGAATTTAGCAATTTTGCCAATTTCACACAAATTTCAAAAGATGCCAATTTCCGAATAGGGTCCAGAATAAACAAGAAAGACACTCCTGGCACTAAAATGACATTTCCTCTGTTCATTAGTCATGTCTCAAGGCCCCTCTTACGTTCTTTTGCTTTCCACTTTGAATTTTTATTCTCACAAAAAATAGAAGATTTACTGTTATGCATTACTGTTATGTATTAGTGTAAAAAATGGTATAAATAATATTGGCGCACTTGTGAAAGAATATTAGACTCACCAGTTGACGTGTATTGGACGCTTGGCATGATTTGTTTACTTTTGAACTTTGGTAAAAATCGAACATTTCTGCTACTTGGAGCTCAATTTCAAGGTACTTTTCATTGTAAAACCAATCAAATCATCTCAAGTTCTGTAATATGTCTTCCATTCTATAAAATGAGACCAAGAAAACTAAAATACAACAATAAATACCATACGAAAATACAGTGCAAAGTCGCTGTTTTATTCCAAAAAAAAAGCGTCAGTTTTTTTTCCTCATTATGCACTGTGTGCTGCAGGGTTTTTTTTATACTGTGCACACTGACCACATAGACCCATTCTTTCATATGTAGGCCTACCAGCTTTCTCCCACTAGATTTGAGGGCGCTAGAATTTAGGCGTACTAGTACGTCAAAAACCCTGGGTCGTAAGCCGTACTAGTACGGCCAAAACCCTCAAAGGGTTAACATAAAATAAGACATTTAATGTGCCCAGGAGTGATTATTATTACGTATTAGTATTATTACTATGGCGTTAGCATACAAACATTATATGTTTATATGGTACATAATGTGTTTCTTATATAATTTTGAAGAAAATATCAAAGATGGATTAATGAAAATGTCTATATTAACATAAAATACACATGCAAGACATTCAACGTGCCCAAGAGTGAGTCATGAACATATGAGCGGCCCAGGCGGACGCATATGGTATGGACAATTTCTGAGCGAATGTACAAAACCCATGGTAAAATTTTGCTGAAAAAAGTGGTCGAAATCCGAATTGTATGATTTCCACACCGGACAAAATCATGGGATCCACTGTATAAGATTCTTTGAAGCCACTAGCAAAAAATTTTATGTGGTCATATTCAACAGAAGAACAGTGGACCCTCGGCTAACGAAGGCATTGTCTAAAGATAAATTCGCCCAACGAAGTGTTTGAGCGTAAAAAATTTTGACCCGGCCAACGATGAAAAAAATCAACCAATGTGATTCGTCCCGAACCTGTCCGTCCAGCCTGAGCCTCAGCTGCCCTGCCGTCATTGTTTACAAGCCAGGGTGGCCGATTCCATGCATACATTCGATACATTTTGTATTATTCCGTTGTTTTTAGTGCTTGAAACTGCTCAATAAGCCACCATGGGTCCAAAGAAAGCATCTAGTGCCAACCCTGTGGTAAAAAGGGTGAGAAATACTATCGTACCACAGTCAGGTGCTGCTGCACCACCGTCAGCTGTACTACTCAAAGATGTGGAGAGACTGTTGTTGGTGTGGCTTAACGAGAAACAATTACCAAGAAACAATTAACCCCAAAGGGTTAGCCACCCAGGATAACCCAAGAAAGTCAGTGTGTCCTCGAGGACTGTCTAACATATTTTCATTGGGGTCCTTAATCTTGCCCCCCAGGATGCGACCCACACCAGTCGACTAACACCCAGGTGAACAGGAAAAAATGCCTGGAACTAGTGCTCATATTAGTGAATTTAAGGCCAGCAAAGGTTGGTTTGAGAGATTTAAGAATCGTAGTGGCATACACAGTGGGATAAGGCATGGCGAAGCTGAAAAATTCCAACCCCAGCAAGTGTTCAACTGTGACGAAACAGGCCTGTTCTGGAAGAAAATGCCAAACAGGACCTACATTACTCAGGAGGAAAAGGCACTCCCAGGACACAAGCCTATGAAAGACAGGCTAACTTTCTTGTTTTGTTGTAATGCTAGTGGGGATTGCAAAGTGAAGCCTTTACTCATGTATCACTCTGAAAATCCCAGAGTGTTCAAGAAAAAGTGTCTCATCACTCATCAATACTCTTCAATAAAGGTAAGAGTCATTTTAACCCTTTCAGGGTCGAGAGGCCCTCTCCTAAACTTGTTTTCAGGGTCGAAAATTTTTCAGAAAAAAAAAAATTATTTTTTCTTATGAAAAGATAGAGAGTCTTTTCCCGATCATAATGACTCAAAAGTATGAAATTTGATGGAAAACTTACGGAATTATGTTCTCGCACTTTGGCAAAAATCAAACATTTCTACTAATTTGAGCTCAATTTCAAGGTACTTTTCATTATGAAACCAATCAAAATCATCTCAATTTCTGTACTATGTCTTCCATTCTATAAAATGAGACCAGGAAAACTAGAATACAATCATAAATACCATACAAATATACAGTGGACCCCCGGTTAACGATATTTTTTCACTCCAGAAGTATGTTCAGGTGCCAGTACTGACCGAATTTGTTCCCATAAGGAATATTGTGAAGTAGATTAGTCCATTTCAGACCCCCAAACATACACGTACAAACGCACTTACATAAATACACTTACATAATTGGTCGCATTCGGAGGTGATCGTTATGCGGGGGTTCACTGTACAGTGCAAAGTCGCTGTTTTAAATCAAAAACACGGTCAGTTTTTTATTTCTCATTATGCACTGTGTGCTGCAGGATTTTTTTTAATACTGTGCATGCTGACCACATAGACCCCATTCTTTCATATGTAGGCCTATCAGCTTTCTCTTGCTAGATTTGAAGGCGCTAGAATTTAGGCGTATGTACTAGTATGTCAATAACTCTGGTGCGTAAGCCGTACTAGCCCGTCGGAAATCCTGAAAAGGTTAACATTTATTTATATAGTTATTGTGCATGTCTCATTGCTTTCTTTGTAGGGAAATGTATATTTCATGAAAAAAAAAAATTTTTTTTTAATACTTTTGGCTGTCTGGAACGGATTAATTGGATTCCCATTATATTTCTCATGGGGAAAATTAATTTGGCTAACAATAATTTCGTCTAATGATGAGCTCTCTGGAATGGATTAATATCGTTAGCCGAGGGTCCACTGTATTTTGTAAACTAAAGAAACAAATACAAAAGTTTCAAGTACATCCTATTTTTCACTATTAATTCTTCATAATTCCATAAAAGGACAGCTTAAGAAGGAACTGGTTATGGACTGACCTCCTGATGTGACTTACATTAGTACTGCATTTTGGTTATGGACTGATCTCCTGATGTGACTTACATTAGTACTGCATTTTGGTTATGGACTGATCTCCTGATGTGACTTACATTAGTACTGCATTTTGATGTACCATTGCATAAGACTATATAATTTGCATTTACGTATATAAATTATATTTCATAAGTACGTACGTATTTGTTATACAAAAGAAAACAACTCAGTTATGCTGTGCCAATATTCTAGAAAAACTGTGACTGAACATACTAGTACAGCATAAAATCATAATGACAGTTAATATTATGCAGAAAATTCATAGTTTGGAGATTACGAGGAAGTGCGGGGTTACTAAAAGTATTATCCAAAGGGTTGAGGAAGCATTGTTGAGGTGGTTTGGTCATTTAGAGAGAATGGAGTAAAATTTATTTATTTATTTATTTATTTATTTATTTAAAAATTTGAGCACACATACAGAGGTACAACAAATACAGGTAAGAGCAGTATGCCAAAGCCACTTATACTATGCATAGCATTACGGGCTGGCTTAAAATTAACTTAAGATTAACTAAGCAATGATGAAATCAGTGATAAAACATTAATGTAAACAGGTTACTATAAAGCACAAGTGAGTATTACAAAGACAGGTCATATGGTTGTATGCATTGTTGTACATTCAGTAGAATGGAGTATTCTGTTAGGTAGTGTATTTAAAAAATAATAAAGTTAGATTGGGTTTTAGGTTTAACATTTATGTGATATAATTGTGAGAAACATTTAAGATATACAATTTATAAGGTTCAGTTATTCAGTATTTATTTGGTTTTGGGTGAGTAAGTGATCTTTGAGAAGAGACTTGAATTTATAAACAGGTAGTGTTTCTTTTATATTTACAGGTAATGAATTCCAGATTTTAGGGCCTTTTATGTGCATTGAGTTTTTACATAGTGTGAGATGGACACGAGGAACATCAAAGAGTGATCTGTGCCTTGTGTTATGGTCATGTGTTCTGTTGAGGTTGGCAAGGAGATGTTTGAGGGGAGGGTTAATATCAGAGTTAAGTGTTCTATGTATGTAATAGGTGCAGTAGTAAGTATGGATGTTTTGTATGGTGAGGAGGTTTAGTGTATTGAATATTGGTGGAGTGTGCTGCCTATAGTGAGAATTTGTTATCATTCTAACTGCAGCCTTTTGTTGGGTAATTAGTGGTCTGAGATGGTTACTTGTTGTTGAGCCCCATGCACAAATTCCATAGGTGAGATAGGGGTAAATAAGAGAGTGATATAGGGCCAGGAGGGCTGACTGTGGAGCATAGTACCGTATCTTCGATAGTAGGATGACTTTGAGTGTGTATAAATCTACAGTGGAGGGAAGGTGGGGTAGGGGTTGTCCTAGGAAAGGATGGAGGGAAGGGGTAAAGAAAGTTGTGTGCAATGGGCTTGGACATACAGCAAGCATGTGTGAGCATGTTAGATATGAGTGGAGACAAATGATTTTTGGGACTCGTCAAGCTGTTGGAGTGTAAGCAGGGTAATATTTTGTGAAGGGATTCAGGGAAACCGGTTAGCTGTACTTGAGTCCTGGAGGTGGGAAATACTGTGCCTGAACTCTAGAGGAGAGGCTTGGGATATTTGCTGTTTAGAGGACATTGAAAATGTCATATCTGGCACTATCTGCGTGCCTCTGGCCAGACAAAATAAAAAAAAAAAAAAAAAATACTGCAAACATTTCTGGCACTAAAATAACATTTCCTCTGTTCAATAATCACATCCTCAGGCCTCTCCTATATTACACTTGCCTTCCATTTTGAAATCATCACACAAAAACATTTGAAGATTTATCCTACTTCCCAGATAATAAAATATAACCAGGAATGATTGGTCATGATTTACAGCACCCCAATAATTGAAGAAAATTTAGCAGAGGCCCTCAAAACAAATCGGGGATGTAGGAGGGTCATTAACCATCCTCAGGAAAAAGAGAGTCAAATATTGAATATTTCTGCTACTTTGTCAAGATACTTCCAATCCTGAAACCAACCAAAATCTCTCTACTTTTGTAGTAAGCACTATGTCATACATTCTATAAAAAAAAAAAAAAACTAGAAAAAGGAAATAAACCCATAAAAACTGGAAGATACCTCAAATTTGCTATTTTAGACTGAATTCAAGCTCAGAGCTTTGTTTTTCTCATCATGCACCATGTGGAGAAATTTTGTTTATTATACTGTGCATACTCACTGCACAATCTCTTTCTCTCATGTTTAGGCCAAAATTTGCCACTTGCAGCTTTTCTGAGGGAGACGAGTTCAAAACGTAGATCTACGTAAGCAACCCTGGCATCAATAACATAAATCCATGTATGAGACAATGAAAGGGCTAACAGTTGTGGGGATTATATATCACTCTACCACCCAGTCAAATCTCTCACCAGGTTTTCTAAATGGGAAACATACTTGTGACATGTTTTGAGGGTTCTCCTATCCTTAGAGCATGGCCTGAGACCAAGCTTTTCTGTTCTTTATTTAACCCTTTCAGGGTTTCGGCCATACTAGTATGGCTTACGCACCAAGGTCCATGACGTACTAGTACTCATAAATTCTAGCGCCTTCAAATCTAGTGAGAGAAAGCTGGTAGGCCTACATATGAAAGAATGGGTCTATGTGGTCAGTGTGCACAGTATAAAAAAAATCCTGCAGCACACAGTGCGTAATGAGAAAAAAAAAACTTTGACAGTGTTTTTGGATTAAAACAGCGACTTTACACTATATTTTCGTATGGTATTTATTGTTGTATTCTAGTTTTCCTGGTCTCATTGTATAGAATGGAAGATATATTACAGAAATTGAGATGATTTTGACTGGTTTTACAATGAAAAGTACCTTGAAATTGAGCTCAAAGTACCAGAAATGTTCGATTTTACCAAAGTTCAAAAGTAAACAAATCACGCTAAGCGTCCAATACACGTCAACTGATGAGTCTAATATTCTTTCACAAGTGGGCCGATATTATTTATACCATTTCTACACTAATACAGTAGTCTGCATAACAGTAACTCTTCTATTTTTTGTGAATAAAAATTCAAAGCGGAAAGCAAAAGAAATGTAAGAGGGGCCTGGGGACGTGACTAATGAACAGAGAAAATGTTATTTTAGTGCCAGGAATGTCTTTCTTGTTTATTCAGGACCCTATTTGGAAACCGGCATCTTTTGAAATTTGTGTGAAATTGGCAAAATTGCTAAATTCTGACCACTGTATAGGATAGTTGAAATCGGTAAATTGGTGGTTTCTTGTACTCATTCGATAGAAAAAATGGAGTTCCAGCAAAAAAGTTATGATTTGTTTCGACTAGTACATTGGAATTGGCCGAAAATAGAGCTCAAAGTGGGCAAAATCGCCGATGCGTAAACATCATTGAGACCGCTAACTTCATGTGAGCATAATTCCGTAAGTTTTCCATCAAATTTCATACTTTTGGTGTCATTATGATCGGGAAAAGATTCTCTATCTTTTCATAAGAATTTTTTTTTCTTTTTTTTAAATTTGGGGGACCCTGAGAGCAAGTCTCTGAGAGGGCCTGTGGACCCTGAAAGGGTTAAGGAATCAGGCTATTGCTGTTAGCAGCTCACTGGGTAGGATTGGCACAGAAGTGTGTAACCCCTCTTTTCCCCACTTGGGCTTAAGAAACCTCTACCAAATTACTCACCAGGTGGGGCTTTAAAAAAACTTGCTAATTTCTCAATACAATACAGTCTCTCCTCACTTAGCGACGTACTCGTTTACTGATGACTCAGACTTATGACCAGCTCTCTGACCAGCATGCATACCTAAATAATGTACATATACCTGGAGAGTTTACCTGGAGAGAGTTCTGGGGGTCAATGCCCCCGCGGCCCAGTCTGTGACCAGGCCTCATAGTGGAACAGGGCCTGATCAACCAGGCTGTCACTGCTGGCTGCATGCAATCCAATGGACAAGCCACAGCCCGGCTGGTCAGGTACCGACTTTAGGTGCTTGTCCAGTACCTGCTTGAAGACAGCCAGGAGTCTATTCGTAATCCCCCTTATGTATGCTGGGAGGCAGTTGAACAGTCTTGGGCCCCTGACATTTATTGTGTTGTCTCTTAACGTGCTAGTGACACCCCTGTTTTTCATTGGGGGGATGTTGCATCGTCTGCCGAGTCTTTTGCTTTTGTAGCGAGTGATTTTCATGTGCAAGTTTGGTACTAGTCCCTCTAGGATTTTCCAGGTGTATATAATCATGTCTCTCTCCCGCCTGCATTCCAGGGAGTAAAGGTTCAGGAACTTCAAGCACTCCCAGTAATTGAGGTGTTTTATCTCCGTTATGCATGCCATGAAGGTTCTCTGTACATTTTCTAGGTCAGCAATTTCACATGCCTTGAAAGGTGCTGTTAGTGTGCAGCAATATTCCAGCCTAGATAGAACAAGCGACCTGAAGTGTGTCATCATGGGCTTGGCATCCCTAGTTTTGAAGGTTCTCATTATCCATCCTGTCATTTTTCTAGCAGATGCGATTGATACAATGTTATGGTCCTTGACGGTGAGATCCTCCGACATGATCACTCCCAGGTCTTTGACGTTAGTTTTTCGCTCTATTTTGTGGCTGGAATTTGCTGTATACTATGATGAAGTTTTAATTTCCTCATGTTTACCATATCAGAGTAATTGAAATTTCTCATCGTTGAGCTTCATATTGTTTTCTGCAGCCCACTGAAAGATTTGGTTGATGTCCGCCTGGAGCCTTGCAGTGTCTGCAATGGAAGACACTGTCATGCAGATTCAGAGCTGATTTCCTCTATTCTGTTTATTACAATATACAGTACACTACTGTATAAATATTTAAAAATATACCAGAAATGCTATAAATGGTGCAAAGGTGACATTAAAACAATATCAAAGATGGTTGACACATACCCACTACCATTATAGTGTGCCCATCATTTAGCAACCAATTCGTTTACTGAGGTGGTCTTAGGAACGGAACTCCATCATTAACCCTTTGACTGTCGCAGGCCCCTTTCTGAAACTGTCCTTCTATGTCAATAAATTTTTGAAAAAAAAAAAAAATCTATGAAATGATAGAGAATCTTTTCCCGATGGTAATGACACCAAAAGTTCGA